CAAGAGAAACTCTTAGATATCATAAAAAGAAAGCAAGGCATGACATTATTTATTAAGTTTTTTTTGTAATTAATTGCTTTTTATTTTGCTTTCTATTGACAATAAAGATAACGACTAGTTTAACAAAAAGTGAAGCACTTAAAATGAAACAAAACTCAGAGAGAATGAATTTCACGTCTAGATAGAGTTTTTAGAGTTATATTTGAAAAGGAGTTTTGAGTGGTGCTGAAAGTTGTATGATTAAAATTGCATTGATGTTGTCATTTGTTCTTGAACTCTACTCAGTAAAGATTATAATGCAAGTTTAGTATGTCAATTTCCTTCAAACCAAAAATTAAGACAACAGAATAATGAAGATGTGCATGTAGGTAAGCTTGTTTTCATAGACACCAACAATCTACACCTTAGCTCATAATTTACTCATTACTACTTGTATTCTGTCTTACTTTGTGGTCTATTTGATATACTTAACGTATCTAAATCGATTACAGAGAAAAAACAATCTAGAATATCCTATTGTTTCTATTCGAAAATGTTTCAATAAATAATATTAGAAGATAAAATCGAAAAATATTTTCTCATTGTAGAAAATTAAGATGGATTTGATTGGTATTTCTTCAGAAACTAACTATATGTAATATGAATTTGAAAAAGTTTCAACACATTACTGTATTTTTTATTGAAGTAAATCTAATTCAGATCAATAATGAAACTATTTCGATGAAACAAAAAATAGTTTTTTCAATGATGTAAAATGATGAATTATTTTCAATGTCACATAAGAATAGTTATCAATATATTCATTTTTGACTTTTATGGAACAAAAACCTTTCGAATGAATTCTTAGCTATTTTTATAATTGATTTATCATTTGAAAATTTGTCTTTTTCGAAGTGTTTCGAAGGAATCTTATACCTTTGATGCATTATTCTAGCACTTATATCACAAAAATCTCTACACTTATGACATTAATATGTGATCCATGAAAATGTTGAGTGTTTTTAGGAATAATGAGTGAGTGAGATTGAACATATAAATACGTTCCTCACTTCAATATCAATAATCTCCGTAAACACTTATTTCAAAAGCATGTTGAACTTGATTTTAATGTTCAACAACATCATTTGTGTTCATATGTTAGATTACGTAAATCAAAATATGATTGTTATACAGTAGAAAAAAAAACAAAAATAACAGTATTGAATTTTATTATTAAATGAGCTGTGTGATTTTCGTCAGAGAAAAATGTGTACAATAGAAGCTATACAAAAAGAGAAGTTTATGACAGATCAGTACATATATATGTCTAAATTAAAATTATTCTTCCCTAAAAACTTTCTATAATACATAATTGAATTTTTATATCATCTTCGTAATCATCAACTCTATTGTTTTACTATTGATTCGGCTTATATAAATGGTAAAAACTGTATAGTATTAATTGATACAAATTTAATGTATCCAATTGATTCGTCTATTAATTTTTATCAAAATTCTCATTGATAAACAAAAATATTAGTAGAAAAGTAAAAGAAAAAAATTCTAATAAAGAAAACTAATTCAATGAGATAAATCTTTTAATATTCAATGAACGCATCTACTAAATTCTTAAAGCATTTAGGTATGAGCTAATAAGAAGAGCTCATCAGATTCACACCCCTCTGTTATCTTTTGTATTACAATTAAATATTAAATAAAACAAAATATAGATAAAGAAGAAAAGTAAAAAGATTGCTTTCGAGCAAAAGCAATAAATGATTCATTCGATTCATTCTCAAAAAAAAATTTACACGCACAACTTTCAACAGTATTTATCAGGTCATAATTATACAAAAATTACAAGTTTTAAATCTCTAATCGAAATGTATTTTTTCCTGTAAACGAACTTTCTCAATTATTCTTTTCTAACAGTAAAAAGGTCAAACATTGTTCCTATTTCATAAGTAAAAAGCAAAACAACTAGAATCTTTTATTCAAACTGATATTTTTGTTAGTAATAAATTGTCTATATTCATGTTGAAGAACAACAGTGTAGTGTCAGACTCAATAAGATATATAAAGAGATTAATATTAAAACAACATTCACTGAAATACTGATAAAGAATTCGTCTATTTGTGGATTTTACCAAAAGACTCGTTGTTTAACTTTACAAAAAATCTTTTATTAAAAGCCTTTTTATTAGTAGAAATTTCTCATAAAAATTATAAGGACGATATCATTTACTCGAAAGAGGTTTGCAATTTTCCTTAAATCTCTTCTATGTCTCATAGATTCACTTATACTTTCAAGCATAACAAAAAACCATGTATATATGTCTAATGAGAAAAAAAATGTGATTCATTAATTTATTTATTATTACTACTGTGATTTCTTTTATAGACTCAAATAATTAATCTAAACATAATTTTATTTATGAAAATTCTGAGATATTTTTCAATGAACTCACAATAAAACTCTATATCTCACAAGTACTCGATAAAAATATCAATTATCTTTAGAAAATCATAGAAAACGAATATTCGTCAGAATATGTATTTATCCTTAACGAGAAAATATTTCAATAAGTTATTCAGCATGTTTTCTTTTTTTTTTTAGTGTAACGCCTCACTCTACACCTATAATCGAAATACAGAATACACCAACAACTGTATGATGGGAGATCTGAATAAAAACAAAATATACAATTTCTCAAGCAACTATAGTTTAATCATTTTCTAATAAAAAACCAACATCGAATTTTTTATAGAAACTTAAATATCTACACTGAAAACAAAATGAAATTGTTGTATCTGTCGAATAATTTTTATACTAGAGAAATATAATGAGAAATACATGAAGACATTCATTAAATGCTCTACTGCTATCATTATCGTCTCTCTTAGAAAATACTTGATTTCAATATAATTAAATGACATTACTTCATAGAGAGTACTTTGTCAGATAACTAAAAACAGTTACCACTTTCATTTCTACAATGTCAAAATACTCATTAATAATTCAATTAAGAAAGTCGAACATATAAAGGCAATAACATTCATTATATCTAAACGAAAAATGCCTCTTTTTGTACTAATACTTTGTCTGATATATAGTTTCGTATAAAAATCTAGAAATAATATTACTTTTACATTACAGTTGATTGTTAAAAATGTTTATAATGATGAATTTTGTTTTCATCGATAAATCTTGAAAATTTAAAGAGTACAAGTATGATATACTCTATCATCAGGAGACTATTTTGAGATGAATTCATAGCTGTTTATATATTCATTACTATATCGATAAATATGACAATATAAGTGAATACACATCATTCATAGTTTGTTGTGTACAAGTTGATACATTCTGGACGAAAATTAGATAAATCCTGAGAAGCACTATATTCTAATGAAAATTACTTGAAATGAAAGAAATTCATCAATCTTAAATGTGTAGAAATTTCAATTTTTGTACAACTAACATTTCTTTAAAGAAAAGTCGAAAAACTATACGTAAAAAAAGTTTACGCAAAAATTTCTCAGAAATTTCTCAAATACATATATATTGAAGATAATGAAGACGTCCAATAAAAAATATATTGTTCAGTAGAGAGACAAACGCTGTCTTATTCCATATAATTTAGACATGTATATATTTCAGACATTCGTAAAATAAAGATCACATTTTGTAAAAACAAAACACACCTATTTTTTAAGTTACTTGAGTTGATGAATTCTCTTGTCTTGTATTCTCATCTGAAGATGAGCAATGTGAAGGAGAAAGACAACACCCTCTATATATATGTAACATGAAAATTTTTTTTCGTCGACGACGACATGATATAGATGTATGTCAGACGAGAAAAAAAATCATCAAATCAATTACAACAGAAGTGGAATGATTGATCAAAAATTAATCAAAATTTTGAACATCGGTCAATTAATCTCAGGGTATATAAAAACATGTATTCATCATTATGAAACAGTATACACTCGAGTTGTATTATTATAATGCATTACAATGTATTTATATACCCGGGATTATTATTTATTATTATTATGATATTATTTACAATGATAATGATATTATTAAAATCTATATGAGGTAAATAATAAATTCATTATATATTTAATAATACTTTTTTTTTCTTTTTTTTAGATGAGTTTCGATACTATACAATATTGAGAAGTAGAAAAAAAAAATTTTTTTACATATTCAGTTGAGTTGAGATAAGTTATTTTGAGAAAAAATAAATACTATCAGTTATTATGAGTATGAGTACTTTTGAGATGAGATGAGTTGAGTTATGAGTATTATTAGTGTGGGTCAGAGAACTACGTTCTCTGATTCAATAGGTAGAGAAATTTTGCCATAGCGAAGCAGTGTAGTGCTAGGGAAGGCCACTATGTGTCGTTGGTCCCTATCATTAATATGGTATACCTTCGGCCATTGCCCTACCAGTCCGGCGTGGTCCGCCTGTGGTACCTATGGCATTGACAAGGGAACTCTCCCTTGTCGCGCGCGCGCGAATAAGCCAAAATGAACCGAGAAAAATCGAAACGATTAGCAATGTGAATAAATTTATTGAACAAGCGAAAAGAAAAAATTACAGTTACATTTTCCTTTTTACGTCCTGAAGGCGTTTTCTATACAATTGTAAGTGTGGATGATTTGAGGGTAATGAAATTTGTGCGATATCAACAGCATGTTGATAAAACTGGCTGGCCTTCGAGTATTCTCCCATGTTTTCATATGTAAGACCAATATCATGCTTTGAAATAGCCAATGAGGAATGATTCGGAGGCAGAGCTTTTTCTTTTATTTTATGTGCTTTTTCATAAAATTCAAGTGCTTTCGAGTAGTCACCCATGTTGTTATACACTTGACCGATGTTGTTGTAGGAAGTAGCCAAATTGGGATGATTCGAAGGCAGAGCTTTTTCGAGGATTTTATGTGATTTTTCGTAAAATTCAAGTGCTTTCGAGTAGTCACCCATGTCATCATACACCAAAGCGATGTTGTTGTAGGACAGAGCCAAATCCGGGTCATCAGGAGATAAAGCTTTTTCTTTTATTTTAATTGTTTTTTTGTAGAATTCTACTGCTTTAGAGTAATCACCCATGTTGTTATACACGAGACCGATGTTGTTGTAGATATTAGCCAATGAAGGATGATCTTCCGGAACAGTTTTACGCTGAATTTTGAGGGATTTTTCGAGAAGTGAAGCTGCGTCTGCGTATTCCCCTCTGTCTTTTTTCACACATGCAAGCTGGTGATAGATATCTGCTCTATCACTGTCGTTGGATGCCTGTTCTAGTAGTGCTGTATATAATTCTTCGGCCTTGTCAAATTGACCAATTTTGAGCAGCAATTGACCCAGTCGATACCATCCAGTGCTACCTGAAGATTCTTCTCGTATACGATCAGTTAATTGATGGAGTTGTTGGTCATCATCCGACGTAAGTTTAAGGTCCACTTCATAAAGTGGACTTTTCTTGTCAAGTTTTCGAACCTCACCAATTCGAAAGACGGAGTGCATGGAGAAGAGAATTTCCTCTTCGTCCTTGTAATAACTCACCTCCTGAATGGAGGCGAAAGGAGTCGATGAGACTGTGGGATCGATGGTCATTTGAAAGAGGATGCCGACTATATCGGTTGTTCCTAATGCATCTTTGGCGAAACCGAGGGAAACATCTTGTTTTGTACTGGTGGATAGAAAATTGTTGAAAGATATTAGACCACCTTTGTTTTTTGCAAGTTTTTCAAAATCACTTGTCGATAATCCTTGACCCCTATAAATTATAAAGGACTTTCCATGATACTGACTGACCTGTTGGCTGTGTAATTCTTCAATTTGTCGATGAACATCACACAGGAAAAATCCCATTCGGATGATAATGTCCCCATCCAATGTTCGTAATGCTCGATTGAGCATTTTGTATGTGAAGCATTGGCGTGTATACCACCACAAGGCCAATGTTGGATGATAATTATGTTGAAATTCATTGATTAATTTGAGTTCTTTGGTATTGCCTTCGTATTGTTCTTGGCAATATGTGACCAAGTCTTTAATGGCTTTTTGACCATGTTCCATGTCAAGGAGTATTTCCTTGAATATTTGAGTATACATAAAGGAAGGCTCTAGCTGATTGAGATTTTCGCTAGAACCTCCTTCATTGACACCGATAATACTGACTGTAACTTGATCTTGATTGCATTGTTTGACAGCTAGTGCCAATTTTTCACAGATGTGCTTGATTGATGTATGTACACCTTTAATTTTGGGCCAGTTTTTAGCCCATTCTTGGTGACGTTGCTTGTTGCCACAAAAGATATATATGGCATCCAGTTTTGGCATGCCATGAATTTCTGGTACCAGGTGTTGTCCTAATGCACCTGAGGAGATGACAAATGATGTCTCCTCATTGTTTTCCTGGAGCTTCTGGATGCATTGTTCGGCCGTGGTGCATGGATTGACTTCATTAGCAACACCGCGCAATTGCGCGAGTGTATTCTGGCAATCTTCATTTGTCATGTTGATATTACCGTCGACCCAGATGACCAGGTAATTTTCAGCCATTCGTTGTCTTCGGCGTTCACTCATTTTTGATGCCATTTTTTGGTGTTTGATTGACAATTGAGTATTTTCAATGATAGATTGTTGTTTGGACAGAGACTACCTTTTCTATTTATATATTCGATGTCGTCTGTTCTTTTTCTAGATTTTTCAACGACGTCAAATATAGATGTATTATTTTTTTCGTTGACACTCAAGGACAAACTTCACCCAGTTACAATTGAAAACATGGTTGTCAACAACAAATGAAAGAGAAACAATTTAACAACGTCATTTATTCCATTGTTATTCTTTCCAACTTTCGTTTGTTTTTCGTCTACATAAGAATCATTTGAAAACCAATGTGTTGGATATCGTGTCGCATTGATTGTTTACTTTTTCACCGATTCTTTTTAAAGAAAAAAGACTTTTCTCATTCTGTCAAAACGAAAAAAAACAAAAATGACATTATCTGCTTTATTTTTTTCATAATGCATATGATTGACACGCTGATAATGTAAAGAAAACAACAAGAAAAGTAAATTCAATATTGATTGGAGCAATAGTTGAACAACCATTTTTATCCTTGTCATATACAATAAATTTAGCCATATCCTGTCCTAAACAGTTCTAATTCAAATTCGAACCAATATTCTGAATAAAATTAGTCATCGCTTGGCAGCAATAACCGAATTCAATGAGTTATAAACTCCCGGAACACTCAAAAGTGCAGTTCCACTCACGAAACTCTCGGAATTCACGAAATCCAAGGAATTTTCAGAATGATGTAGGTATAGGTTTTGGTTCTTTCGACATCCACAGCCACACTCATATTCGAGACAGCCCTGCAATTGTCTACAATTTGTGGGTAAACGAACTATGATGTTGTCAATTTTGTTTGAAACATTAGGATTGATCTGTTACCTAAATTTCAACAGGTTATTGAATTCTGGACACATCTGGACACATTCTTCAATGAGGTAAATGACGTTCTCAGAGTGTGCAAGTGAGACTAGAAGAATGAATGTATCATCATTCACACTCTTGCTAAAATGATTTTTGATGTATCTTATATTCATTTGGAATATGTGTAAAATAAAAAGAAACTTTGTTTTCTTTTGATATTCTAACTGCTGATCTTTCATTAACCTTTATATGATTCATCAAGAAATAATATTCAAATTGTGTTTGTTCACAATTGAGATTCACACAATTTTAGCGTGCATCACAATGACAACGAGAAAATGTCTATTAGGAGAGTTATCTATGTTTGCATACAGCTAACAAATAATGAAAAATTATTGCAGTTATTTTTTTAACTAAAATCGACAGTAATATTGAAGATATAAGTAAAAAAAACGCTATGATTGTTGTGCATGTCACATGTCTTTGCACAAACACAGAACTTTGTTCCGCGAATAGAAACAAAATTGGCTGTAACATTGATTACATAATTCTGTTAGGTTTCTTCTGAAAATGTAACTATGACAAACAAGAAAGATCAACAAACAAAAGTAGATTAACAAAGAACGAGCCAAAAAAACGAAAACATACATTAATGCAGTTTTATTATTGATACCATCATTTGCAAGGATAGAATATGTAAACAAAGAACTGGTGAAGAAAAGTAAGACTGCATTTTTCTTCATTCGCTTCTTTCTTTCAATGTGTTGACATCTCATCGAAAGCTTTTTACGACTGGCTGTCTATGTTCTTCTATCATGTTGATGAGTTTGAATCAATCGAAAGACCTTAAAAATAAATTCGATACTGTTCGTTGCATTATATTCATTCCATTTTTTCTTCATGGTTCTTGATTCACAAGTATCTAATGTAGCGAAAAACGTATAGACTAAGTATGATAAACATCATATTGAAAAGATCGTTAAAATCGAATGAATGCTGAAGATTCAGTTCGCTAGAACATTCACTTTTTTTCTATGTGAGAAGAAGTCTTCTTGATTTGGAAAATTGAAGAATAGGATGATGTAGGACAGATTGCTAAGAAATGAGAGAAAGATCTTCCCGAAAGTAGAACTGGAAATAGAGGAATTTCAAAAGTCGGGTACTTAGTTTTTTGGTTGATTACTATATTGACGGCGCTGCGGGTGATCTGCTTACATCTCTAGATGAATATGACAAATAGATTTCATATTTCAATCGGGTTATGCTGCTGCTCGGAAAAATCTGTAAAACCGAACCTGAAACAGACTTCATATGTGAATATTCATCATAACCAACAATGATAACAGGCATAACGTATTGATGCACGGAATTCATTATTATTTTTAAGCAAAGAATCCTAAATACTAGAAGATGTCATGAAATATCATTTAGGTATTATCAAGAAGATCTTCATGTAGTATTAGAGCTTTGGAAGGTCTAAAATTATTTCTAGACAAGATTGTCATCGAGAAGATCAGGTATGTCATAAGATGAATCCACAAGACAGAAAACCATGAAAGATTTGTAAGAGTCACACTTTCTCGATACTAATTAAATAGCATTTTTTATTATAACATCATTGACAAGAACATTTGCCATAATGTGACAGACTACATTTTCACGACTATTGATTAATGAAAAGTTAATAACCCGTAATAGATGTTTATATCTCAAAGATGACTTAGAATGATTATCGTGTCTTTTAGAATATATTAATGGATAGATTGATAAAGATTGGAATCAACTGCCTCAATGCGAGAGCTAGGCTTTGTGGCTACAAAAAAACTTTACAAACTAAACGACAACTACAGAAGTCTCTATTCAATGTTCTAAGTATAGAAAGATCGTTGCATTAATTGCCAACATTTACTTTCATGATCAATACCGTATAGTCATTGCCTTGTGTTCTTTTTCTAAATTTTACTACGATATTAAATGTGAGTGTTGTTTTTTTTTTCGTTGACACCAAACAACAAACTTCACATATTCAGTTTCAATTAAAAATATAATTGTCAATAACGAATGAAAGAGAAAAAATACAACAACGTCATTTATTTGCTGGTTATTCTTTCCAACTTTCGTTTGTTTTTCATCTATACCGTGATGTCAGTGTCATTGCGTTGGATACCTTGTTTCATACATTGTTTATTTTTCTTTGGTCTTCTGAGAGCCATTTTTTTTCTCTTGCTGGCAAGAACAAAAAAAACAACGACGACATCATCAGTTCGATTTATTTTCTTTATGATTATAATGAACACTATTGCGAGTTTCTCTAATTGAAATTCGAATATAGTTAAATATTGAAGTGCGTATTATGAAATTCAAAAATGAATGAGACAGTTCAATAATGACTTTTCGTACAGATAATTTAGACGTATGGTGTACTAGACAGTTCTAATTCAAATTTGCATTAATATTCAAAATATAATTAGCCTTTGGTTACTTTGCTAGTTTAATAAGATAGTCATTATTTGACTTAAAATTATAAGTGAGAAAGAATTTATTATTTATTTTTGGCTGCTGATGCCATATGTGAATACGATAGGTTTATTTACATTCGATCTCGTATTAGACAAGTACTGCTATATACATGTTTTTCAATGTGATCAATGTCGTCGTGAGAGTATATGAGCGAGACTTGTAGAATGAATATAACATCACTCACAATCTTGCTAAAATGATTTTTTGATTTATTTTATATTCTTTCGAAATATGTGTTTAATAAGGAGAAATTTTGTTTTCTTTTGGTATTCTAACTGCTGAACTTTCATTAATCTCTATACCATTCATGAAGAAATAATATTCAAATTGTGTATGTTCACATTTGAGGCTCACACAATTTTAATATGCATAGAAATGACAACGAGAAAACTCCTGCCCTATGTATACGTTTATCACTAAAATTCTGTCTATAATAAATCTATTTCGATACAAAACATATTATGAAACATCTATTTTGGATGCATACGACTAACAAATAATAAAAAGTATCGTAGGCATTTTCTTTAACTAAAATCGACAGTAGTATTGAACACATAACTAAAAAAGAACATCGTCATTGTAGTGCATATGGCATGTCATTACACAAACGAAGAAGTTTGTTCCGCGAACAGAGAAATCGGTAGTAATATTGATTGCATGATTCTGTTGGGTTTCTTCTGAAAATGTAACTATGACAAACAAGAAAGATCAACAACAAAAAAGTACATTAACAATGAACGCGCCAACGAAATAAAAACATACATTAATGCAGTTTTGTTATTGTTGCCATCGATGTTTTTTCTTCTTTCATTCGTGTCTGTACAGTGAGTGAAAATGTGAAAGTAGAATATGTAAACAAAGGACTGCGAAAAAAGGTAATATTGCATTTTTCTTTCTTTGCCTCTTTGCGACTGTCTCTCTGTGTTCTTCTATCGTGTTGACGAGTTTGAATCAATCGAAATATCTTAAAAATTAATTCAATGCTGTTCATTACATTATATTTATTTCGTCTCTTTCTACGGTTATTGTTATGACACCATCTACTTTGCTGAAATGTATATACTAAATATGATTAAGTTCATGTTCAAAAGATCATTAAAATCGAATGAATATTCAAGAATCAGTTCTCTAGGCCGTTCAACTTTTTTCTCATTGTGATACGAATGTTTTAAAATTTGTCATGGTGTAAATAGAAGTTTTTCGGAAGTTTTATTAGCTTGCAAAAATGTTTACATTATAAAAGGAAGACAATGATGGTGGAGAAAATATTGATAAGAAATGAAAGAAAGATATTACTAAAACTTGAATTTGGAATAAATCTCTAGATTTGTATAACAGACTGACTTCATATTTAAATCAGCTTATGTTACCATTCGGATACATCAGTAGAGCTAGACGAAGTCGATGATTATTCCGAAATTAACAAAATAAAGTCATGAACGACATAGTATTCAGTTGTTTTGTTTAAGATTCGAAGGCAACAGGATACCAACATGGGATTTTACGACAGAAAGTTTCATCATAACAAACAAAGAGTATTCATGCTCGAAATTTATCATTGCTTTTACGAAAAATCTCTAAATACAGAAAGATGTCATGAAATACCATTTAGGTATAGTTACAACGTTCTTTACTAACATCAGTGAAACTAAAACAAAGCATTGTTTTTAAATGAAATATGAACACTGTCTTCTGAAAAGAAGATCTTCATGAACTATTGAAGTCTTTGAAGCTCTACAAATAACTCTAGACAAAGAGGTGATTGAGAAGACTACATATGCCATAAAATCAATCCACAAAATAGATAACTATTAAATATTTGTAAGAGTCATACTTTCTCGACATTAGATACTGTTTTGCATCATGAGGCCATTGGCAAGAACATTTAATTTCTCTAAGTTAAATTTAAGTAGACAACAATTTGAAATTCAGTTACACCAGCTGAAATATTGATCTGTGTCAAATGATATATCTGAAATTTGCGTGTGAGTGAAGAGAAGCTGCAAAGACAAACCTATGCCCTATAGTCGTTATTGGCTTTTATTTTTTTCTAGATATTGCTCCGACGTAAAATATGGTTAATTTTTTGTTGACACTCAACGATAAACTTCACCTCGTTTCAATTGAAAATAGGCTTATTAACAGTAAACAAAAGAGAAAAAAATCTAACAGCATCATTTATTCTATTGTTATTCTTTCCAACTTTCGTTTACTTTTCATCTGTACAATGACTTAAGTGCCATTACATTCGATACGTTGTTTCATACATTGTTTAGTTTTCTTTGATTCTTTCAAAACGAAGTTTTTCTTTTTCTGACAAGAACGAAAAAAAAATCAACACAGACATTGTTAATTCGATTATTTTCTTTCTGCCTGTGATCGACATGATAATAATGTGAACAAAATGACAAGAAAATTCGATTCGACTTTTTTTTTGAACTAACCATCGAACAATGTTGTTTACATGCTCAATATATTGCTGTTAGGTAACAAGTGATTCAAGCAAAGAAAGCTGCTCACATCGTGCTTCGTCATTGAAGACATGTATCACACTTTATAGTTGCTGAATCAGTTTTTCTCTCATCGTGATTGTGGGTGAAAAAATACCAAAAACGATTAGTCTGAGTGTGCACAAATATCATAATTGTTGTTTGTGAGGTATTGAGCTTTGGTTTTCGTATTGTTTTGGAGATACTGATAAAAACGGTTGATTGTGAAGATATAAATCAACAATAATTTCATTTAAACTTTACAATGTATGTTATTTTAAAATAAACTTCTGATGAAATATTATACATCAATCAAAATCATCCGTTATCTTGAAATCATAATCTTATAAAGATCAAAACCTCTTTTCAAGAACTTTCCATAATGTAACCTTTGCTATTCGATCTGCACGATAAATTTTTCGCAAGTTTAGTCGAAAGTCTTAGTTTCAATTCATTCATTGTTGTCAAACAGTTGATATCATTTTCGAAACAATTAGTCTTGTTCTGAATGAATGAGGAAGTATACGTATTGACATTTTTTATCTGCAATAATAGGTGTATATGAATAAATAGTAATTAGACCAAATTGAAAAGATACATATTAGATTCATATAACTCATGCACCCACACCCACACCCTATTGAGGATTCATTCAATTTTAATTTTACATCATTACATACGTGCATAACTAAAATTATATTAGTAGTTAATGTATTTCAACGGAAAACGTATTAGGAAACATGTTTCTCTATAGAAACTGATGTTAAATCATTGATACTATCAACATCTATTCTATATGATACAGTGAAAACGTGGAATACTATGGTCGCAAAATATGATTAACAAACTCATCTATCAACAAATTCTGTTTTTGCATGCATGCGAAAGAGAGTCATCTATATTTGCATACAGTTGCCAAATAATGAAAAGTATCGCTGGTATATTTTTAACTGAAATCGGTAGAGATATTTAAAAAATGACTGCTGTTTTTCTTAACTCAAAAGTAACAAAAACAAAACACCATCATTGTAGTGCATGGTCGCATGTCTTTGCACAAACACAGAACTTTGTTCTGCGAACAAAAAAATGGCCGTAAGGTTGATTGCATGATTCTGTCGGGTTTCTTCTAAAAATGTAACTACGACAAACAAGCAAGGTCAACAAAAAAAGTACATTATCAACGAACGAGCCAACAAAACAAACACACTGAAGAGAATTTTTATTATTGTTGCCATCGATTTCTTTTCTTTCTGAGTTTGTGTCTGTACAGTTAGTGTCAATGTGAAGATAAAATATGTAAATAAACGACTGCTAAAGAAAAGTAATATTTAATTTTTCTTTCTTCACTTCTTCCTTTCGATGTGATTGCATCTCATCAAGAGCTTTTTATTACTGGGTATGGGTGGGAGTGCGGGTTTGGGGTGTGGGTGTAGGTGAATGTCGATCTTCTTTTCATCAACACCCATACCCAGCTAAATTTTTGCATTCAGATTAAAAATAATAGCTTTGAAAGGTGCTTTTGAAATTTTTCCGTGTAATTTAAAACTCAGTGTATGAACCTATCATAAAAAGAATTAGTTGATAAAATTCAATAAAATAGTAAAGATATACTGAAAAACTTCTAGGATACCTTACAGAATAAGAGTCTGCCACAGTGATTTTTCAGTAAAAACAAGTTATTTATTGGATTCGACTTTTCCAGATTATATCGATATTTGAGATGATAATGCAAAATTAAGTAAAGTATTGAAGGCCAACCTGACGAATTCTACTCTATACCGCATTTCTAGATATGGGACCGGGATCAGGCACAACATTTTTTTTTCATTGTGAGTGATATCTTTTATAGTCATGTAAAACTTGCGTCATATGTCATGTTGTTGCGACTCATGTATTCTAAGTTTATACGATAATTATTGAGTAACGATCACATCAATATTTGCTGTTTTAATTTTCATAGTAAAATAATCCATTTTCTTTTCGTAAACAATAGAGTTGTCGAACTCAGAACTAAAAAACTTTTTCTATCCAAGATCAAGACAATTAACGGTTGATCCAGCTCATCAGTACTTATTTCACTTGGAAATTTAATAAGTTTCATTAAAAAGAAAAATTTCTTTCTTCTAATCATTTGAAACAAATCGAGAATGATTAAATAGTTTATCATTAACTTTTCTCATTTTATAAATATACATATATATAATGTTCGAATTATAGCAAATTAAAAAAACAAAAAACAGATAATATGCATACACATGAGAATTGACTATAATCATTCAGAATAAAACAAAACAAAGAACACATTTTTCTATATGTCAGAAGATCAAATATACTTATTATCTGATACATAAGAGAGATTTTTTTTTGTAAATAAAGATAATAGATGCAACAAAATAAAAGATCACTGTTTGTCAGTTGTTATTTTTCTTTTCGCTTTATATATAGATATTGTCTATGAAATAAAAATAAAAATACAAATAAATGAAATAAGGAAAGAGAGAAAAGAAAAACAAATTACTTTAATGATGTTTTTATTTCTTTCATGAGATTAGAACTAAATAAATAAAAATTATTTAGTTTGGTTATTAATGAAAATCTCAAAATATACATACTATTGATTTAAATAAGAAAGCTATTGGTTGTTCAAGAATTGTTTCAGCATATAAAGATGCAGCCGAATTAATTTTTTCGACAACTAAATTAAAAACTTAAATATAAAAAAAAACGATTTATTTAAATTCTTTTTCTAACCAGTTAATCGATAAGATTGACAAATTGTATTAATTATCAATAGAAAATCTTGATTAGATGATGAAATACGAAGTTGTGATTGACATATCAATACACCCGAACTCATCAAATCAGCAAATGCAATACTTCAAAAAAATATATATATATTAAATAATTTACTCAAAAAAATTATTCTTACGAATCAATAGTCTTTCGTCGTAAATATTGTGAACAAGGTAAATTAAGTTTAAATTCAATTCTATCTGTTTCAATTATATTTGATTTCTAAATATGTTTATCAAAAATAATAATAAAAAAATCTGTTTTTTTTATTTTCTATTTTTTTTCAACATACATTTATAGAATAAGTTAATGTTGTTTTTAATTTTTGAGAACATGATATAGCATTTATTGAAAAACAAATATGAATATAATTTTGTGAATGAAAAAAAAGATTTATAGATGGAAATGATATTAAATTTGCACTTGTTGTATTTAATAATTTCGAACTCATACTATCAATACAATGAATATTAATATGATCAATAATAAATGATGTTCGATTTTTTACAAGAAATGTTACATAAAGTTGAGCTATTGATGGATCTGGATTAATTGAATATTCCTAGAAATAGATAATATATCAAACTTTATAACAAATTGAAATCGGACGGAACTATAGGATTATGCTAAAAACTTAATACAATCGACATCATTCAAGAAGGTAGCATAGATTTTCTCAAATCTCAATAGAATCTATCTAATGAGATAAGACTCATATCAAAAGTATTTTATCGCTTAGCGAAGTTTTCTCATCTATTGGTTAAACTAGAATAACTATTGAACTTACAATTGTCAGATTGAGCAACTAGTTTATAAGTATCTTGTTCTTTGTATTGTTGCTCAGATTGATTTGTTAGATGAATATCATCTGTCATAATGTCCAATAGAAGTGGTTTGTTTCTGACGATGATTTTTTTTCTTTGGTTTCTTTGCAATAGCAGAAGGAGAAGGTGTTGAAGTTGGACAATTTTCTTCCTCATCAGCTGGTGATAATAATTCTTTATAATCACTACGTTCTCGTTTGTGTTTAGATTTCAATGTTGATGATTGTTCTTGTTTTTCAATTATTTTATTTTTCTTAGATTTTTTTGGCTTTCCAGTTAATATAGGAGGTGTTTCAACTTGTTTAGGAACTGGTTCTTTTAATTGAGATGTCAACAGTGGTGGTGATGTAGGAATCGATTGAATAGGTTTTTCATTTAAGTCAATATTAAGTGCTCGGTGTGGATCATATTTTTTATTTTTTCCAACAATTACATCATGATCATTGTCTTCATTTCCACTTTCTGTAGCACCTTCTAGTAATTCATCACCACGTGTTACTTCAACAATTCGATAAATATCACCATCATTATCATCGATCACTGTTATATTAGATTTTTTCGATGATTTATTTCCTTTTTTTGATGATTGATCATCAGGTTTTGATTTTTTTCTTTAAATATCGATTTTCTTCATAAATTTTTGCTTGACGATATTATTGATCAGATAGTATTAATTGTGACCTAGTAACATTTGTTCCTTGTGATAATGTTGATTCAATGCGATCATTACCATTTATAGTATCCAAAGTTGTTTCGGTCTACAATATTAAAGACAAATTCAAGAATTGAACTAGCCTATTTGTATTCTGTAGAATCAAATGAGTTAAGAATATCCTGAAGACAGTTCAAGTCCGTAGCTTATTGCTGTCGAGATACTAGAGTTTTACGGTAGTTCTTAAATGAATGTCGTAGTTAGAGCCCGTCCGATTGGTCCCGAGTTCGAAAACTTTGAACTCGATGAATTCTAGTCATGATGCCCTACAGAAATATGATAAAAACTAATTTTCGAATTTTGACTTGGCTTGAGCAAAATGAATCAAGAATATTTTCTTTGGAAAAATCTGGTAATGAACATGGAAGATGCAATCGAAAGTTGAATATAGTCAAATGTGAAACAAGTAATTCCCATTTTTGGTCATCAATAAGATTCAGATAACCTTGTGCAATAAGTTCGAAATGATATAGATTAAGTATTTTAGATAAAAATTGTTCTACATGGATCATGGTCTTTTTTTATCTTAATTTTAAAAAACAAAGTATATATATATACAATTTTCAAATAACTATACGCATCATGAATGATTAGGATGAACCATCTCAGATGGGGCAATAATGATATGGTATACGTCCACTTTGGATAATTATCATATGAAAGTTTGACATCAAGTGAATAAAGATTAGAAATTTGATTCAATATAAATGATAAGCCCCAGCAAAAGTAACTTTGAAGAGTTAAATGACGTAGATGAGGCAATGAAACCAAAGCGAGATTTTGAGCATGGGGTACTGCTAGTCAATTCATTCAAGAAATTAAGTTATATATAGTAGTGTATGTCTGTGTTTATTATCACTAATCGTAGTCATATCAAATGATTGAAGATGAATGAATTGTTCGAGTTTAAAATGAGAAAAGAACAGGTTTGATTGATTTGATGTATCATTGTCATGGGACAATATATACCAGAAATGACTTGATGTGGTCGTATATGTTGGCAAAGAAGATCAAATTTTGATTTAAGAACAGAACGAAAGTTGAGTAAATAGTGAGAATAGCCAGCTAATACAGAATCCAAGTAATCACTTAGGCTAGAAAATGAATAGTAGATATCATGTACTCAAAAATAATCAAAAATATCGTATGAGATAACTGATTTCTTATTGCTCGTTCATGATGTAATAATATAACACACTGCTTTTTTTCTTGTTTCATTCTTTGGTCGATATTACTTGCAAACGTCCTTCTTTCAGATATGAAACATGTGTCGAGATGCAAATGATTCATCGTATATTCGATACTGGAAAGAATATAGAATGAGTATAAATCGATGATGAGCGAATGACATTGACAAATCAAAAGTTTTGAATAAGATGAGCAAACATGTCTTTCAATGGTCACATATCTCTTCTGCATCTTTAGTCTTTACGTACTTTAATCATTGCCATTTTTTTTCTTTATTTACAACATTTAGTACGAGTCATTGCTTTTCATTTTTAAGCCGCTTGTTTTTCTTTTTAATTCAACTTTATAACACTAGAGAAGTTTTTTTTGATGAAATTGAAATATAGAAAAATTCAGATTATAAAATCAACTTTTTTTTCTCTAGTAAAAATAAATAAGCAAAGAAGAAACACCTACTTCAAACGTTACTTTATTTTATATACAAGATATCTCGTAAGTCATCGGGGAAGAAAAGATTTGAATATCTCGTCGTATTTCGGCGAAATAGGCTAATTATTTTAATAAAGATGAACTATGGTTCATAGCTCATATTCATAGTAAAAATGTTAGCAAATAGGTTTTTGAAATATCATTTCTATCTTCTGACTTTCATAAGCTATAAAAATACAATATGGTTATTCCCAAGGACAAAAATGAAAAACAGCTATTTTTTCGATGACTTCTTCATACTATTATGAGATGCATATTATGTGGAGAAATATCTTCATATGATTATTTTCTCATTACTATGTTGTTTTTGAGTGTTATCTATTCATATGCAAAGGTCTTCTGAACACTAACTATGATATTATACATACGTTGCTTCACTAATATTTTTCTATTTATACGAATGATGATTCACCTACTCTCATGTATTATTCGATCCAAAATAAAAGGTAGTTTGCCATTTTTCAAATAGCTTTTAATAGGAACAAGATAGAGAGCTGCAATTTTCCTCATTCGAAAGAGCAATACTTGGGCCATCGATCTGTATAAAATTCATTAGGACGAAAGATGTTTGTTCAACGAGAATTATCGATTAAGTTTTTTTCTAGGTATAATTTTCTTCAATTTTCACAATAATCTGAACTCAAATGATGCCATAATGTACCTTAAGAACACTTTTTTCACTATAAAATATTTAAATGCCCTTGAGAATTCACTTCGTAAAAGAGATCGCGGATTAATCGAAAATGTGATGATTTTATAGTGAAAAAAGTGTGATAGGCAATCTTGTTCGAAAAGCATCTTTCGTTCTCATAAGTTTTATACAGATCGATGGTCTATATGCAGTGATCGTTTGGAAAATAAAAAAGAAGTTCATTTTCGATCACATAGATGGATTCATTTGTTAAGAGGAAACCAATTTAATTGAATCATAACACAACTTAACGATTAGTTGGGAAAGAAGATAGGATATGGATCTGGCAAGTCACGAATGGCGCCGACGAATGATTCGCCGTTTGTTTCTAAGATTGAGATGAGCCTTTCTTTCGCGAAGCTTTCTATAGATTAGACAATAGTTTTCAGAAGAGCTCGACCAAGTAGATAGAATCTGGGATCGATGAATTACAACTGGCGCCCTCGAGAGACGTTGATGAGCGACTCGCCATTCATTTACGAGGTAGACACGTTTTTTCTTGCGTAAAGCTTTGAATGAAATATAGAGTATTTTTCGAAAGAGCTGAGGCAATTGTTGTGGTGAAGACGACTAATTCAAAATCATACCAATTTCTCGTAAAAGCCAAAGAAATGTAATCTATGACGAGAATATCGCGCAAATACTACATATTCCAAACTCGACATTACCAGTGTTGCTTTTTCCAAATTGCAAAAGTTGAAAGACTTGTTCGTATGGTGTTGGCTATAGCATCACACAAACTGATGATTTATCTGATAATATTTGTCAAAGTGAATAGAATGAATTCAGTCGAGGGTGAAGCGAGTCGTAGCGACGAGCGTTACTTGTTTGTTAGAATAAATTTTTCTCGAGAATGATGTATGTGAAAATAAAGAAAATACAATAAACATTATCTTGAAATGATATGACTAATGATTCACGGATACAATGAACTAATAACTTCTGAAATTATGTCCTCTATATTATTGTGATTAATAGTTTACAATTCTTAACGACATTCGGTCGTATGAAGTGAGGCAAATACGGCAGTTGAAGAAATGTTGCTCACTACATATAGACGATAAGAACCAATCAAAATGCGAATCCTTACTTTACCGTAGTTCATCTATTTCCTTTTCTCTTTCGGTCAATCGATAGTTATAACAGATAAAATAGAAAGAATTGTGTTTCGATATTGCGAATTCTTTTTCATTATTTTATCATGATTTTTCATTCCAATATTTCACTTGTGATTATTGATTGATGATATATTCTAGGTGCCTGTTACTACTCGATCCATGAATCTACGAAAAAAGTTTTGAAAAGAAAAGTATTATTGTTATTCAAACAGAGCAGAAATCGAAAAGATAATTCATGTATCTTCGATACCTCCTATATCTGGCTTTAAACTGATTTTCAGGAAGTCAATAGAACGCATCTAGTTCAGATTAAGATAGGAAGAAATCGAGTAATAAATATCTTGAATGTTTCTTTATGTCGAAAATATCTTTTGATAACACTCGCATTTATCTATCTGTAAAATTCAAACTTCTATAAAGATCATTTTTTTTCTCCTAGATAAATTTATTTTGATCCTCATTGAATGTTGAGTGATACCGAACTTGACATGACAAAAAAAAATAATTGTAGATAAGATAATGCTTCCATTCTTTTCAATTTCGAAGAACTTGTGTGGATTCACTAAATATGATGCTTAATCTCTGAAAAAATTTGCTTTTATTTCCTAAAAGATATCTTTAACCCTGAGTTGAATCGAATCACATCCAGTTATGCTAGGATTACCGAAAAAGTTTTTGGTAACTGGTCGAATCACGAAAAATTCACCTATGTCGGTCAGTAATATTTTAGAGTCTTCAACTTCAAAGTTTTAGTTAAAAAGTACGTGAGAAAAATAAATAAGATCTAAAGTGAATTCGTCATTTTGACTAGCCGATAATTATTAGAAAGCACTCTAATAATCTTTTCTTATTCTTTGCATTTAAATGTATGTTCATTTTCGATGTACATAATTGATCATTTCATTTTTCTTCTTTATATTCATGATAAGAATGGTGGCACCTATATCCACATATGTTTCATTTCTCTTATTCTCAATGAAAAGCTGCTGACAGTCGAAAATGTATCTCAACAGGGTGTGCTATAACGATTGATTTCCTCGCCTAGGAAAAATTCAATTATTTCAACCGAATATAGATCGAACATTTTTCAAAAGCCAGAAATTATCTTTTAGTCAAGATGGTACTTCTTCAAAAACGGTCAGCTTTCTAAAAATGATTGAGGACATATCTTTTCACAACTTTACTTTATTGTCTTATTTCCTTGTCTATAACATAAAATCATTCGAAAACTTGTCTGGACAAATATGAGTTGTTTTTTTGTACATTCTGATTTGCGCAACTATCTATAAGGAAGGATAAAACATTTTGCTATTTGAAAGCTAATCACGAAACTTATGAAAAACAGTCTTCTGTATACACTGTATTCTATACTTTATGTAGAATAATAGTCGTTAGACTTTTCCACGTCATTGTGCGTTCTTTGGATGCCAAATAAATGCATGCTGATATATAAAAAAGAGAAAAGTTTCATTCTATATGGTTGGAAGAACAGATTAATTTTACGATTAAACTTTTCTGTATCTGAGATAATGGTTAGATGACTGATTCTTGCAGATAACAGGAGCAAATTGAGCAATGTGCTGGTAATAAGAAAAAAATCCAACTATTGCTTTTATTACACAGATTCAGAAATACAAAAAAAAACTTATGGTTGTTTAAATACTTTTTTTTTGAGTTGTTGTAATTCATACAGATAAACTAGATCTAACAATGCAATTACTTCATCTGTGAAAGTCATTTCTTTTAGTTTTTACAGAACATTTTGGATTCATTTCACACTGGTATTTATACTCAAGAGTCTTTTCTCTTCTGCCAAAATATGGCAGAGATATTCAATTTTTCCTGCGGTAAAGAAAGTTTTGGATCCTCTATAGCGAGTCCCACCGGTGGGACCCATCATGTCGAATGTGTTAAAGTTTCTTTTAAATACAATGACAACTAACGACAGTTGCTGATAACTTTCTGCTCTTTACATAAAAAATAGATGTAATATAGACTGATAGATTCCATTTAAGCTCAATCAACTTAGGCTCACTTTACGTGACCATCTTCTTACGATCTGCATAGCCAGAAGAATTTTTCTTACTTCCTACAATGAGTCACTGGACTTTATTTCGTTGTCTTCTTGCAGTTAAAATACGTCATGCGAATCGAACTATTATCGACTCGTTCTACAATCAGAAGAATTGCTCACGTGTAGTTTGCACTTTCTAGAGAAAAAAGAAACGAGAAGCGAACGTCCTTCTTATCAAAAAATGAAGAGCCGTGATGTATTGATAAAAATGATTCACTCGTTTATTCTCTATAAAAAAAAGAGAAAAAAATGTTTCGCCTCTCTCCACATGATTAGTTAACGTAAACAACATATGCACATAGGTGGCTGCTGGTTGTTGATCATATTTTGTACGTAATACTACGATTATTGTTTACGTATGTCAGAAGAAAATGTTCCTCTGGTACCATCTGGAGAGGAAGACAGACGTACAAATGAAGACTCGTCAAATCAGTCTCGAACAACCTTGTCTAGAGTAAGCATTTCGTTTCTATCATTAAAGTTCACATCGACTAATCTTGTTTTAACAAAATGATTTGCCTTGCTTGTGAATGAAAAAAAAAGCACAAGTCTAAAACATCCTCCTTGTCGTTGATCAATTTATCTTATCCATGTCTAAAAACTTTGAATTAAATTGATACTTTCACCCTCATTCCTTAGTTATCACTCACCAGTTCATACAGTATATCGAAGCGATAAATTGGCTGACTTGACAAGATTTTACTTTTCTGTATTATTTGTTTTTTTTAGATTTTTTACCGGTCAGAAATTGAAACTAACACTTTCAGTGATAAATTGATAAGTCACATCTAACCGTGCAAAAAGGAGAATATTAAACAAATTTCGTAGAGCAGTTTCTTTTCACACGATCTTAACTTAGAGTACTGTAATCATTTTAGTTTATTTTGATTTTTTTGAATAGTCACAGCTCATATGGTCTTTGTTAACCATTCTTAGTACAATCATCATTCTCACACTCATTATCGTCATCCCTGTTGTAACACGTCAATCATCGCCAATTACACAACGCATCGATTGTTATCCCGAAGCTAAATCAAGATTTTCAAATTATTCGAAAGAAGCCTGTCTCAAACGCAATTGTCTGTTCGATGAGACGCCACGTCTAAATGTTACTCAATGTTATTTGAATCCTGCCTACGGCTATATATTTCAAGAAGAAGTACAAACAAAGACAGGTATACAAATAAAACTGCAACGAAATCAAGCGATTGCTAGTATGTTTCCGGAACCTATCGATAATGTAATACTTAACGTTCAATATTACACTAACGATATACTTCGATTCAAACTTTACGACAATAATAATCAACGATACGAGGTGAGTTCAATTCGAACGAATAATGTTGTGAAAATCTCATGCATTCATTTGACTTTTAATGAGTTGAACGTGCAAACTCATGATAGTATTCGATTTGGACGCTTCTAGACAATTATTCTTTTGAACAATCTAACAATAAATATTAAGCTTGTTTATAGAAAACCTAACAGGACAGATAGTCAAGAATGCTTCTCGATATATTTAGCAAAAACTGACATGTCTTCGAATGATGAATATCGTTTGCCACTAGCTACTTGCGATTGTGCAGTATATTTGAGGATTATAATGCACTATGGTTTAATAGGATGCATGACAAATATCATCTTTTTTGAGTAGGTGCCGATTCCATTGGCTGACTCGCCCGGCCGCCCTTCGTCGGTACAGTACGAGTTCACTTATTCATCAAAAATTTTACCTCACAATCTGTTTTCGTTCGCTGTCAAACGTCGTACAAGTCAAACTGTTCTATTTGATACATCTCTCGGTGGTCTCATGCTCAATAATCAATTTCTTCAAATCGTTACACGACTTCAATCGCCACATATTTACGGATTTGGTGAGAACAATCATGATACACTCAAACATAATGTATATGAACAAAAAACATGGGGTATTTTTGCACGTGATCAAAGTTAGTTAACAATAGAAGATGTTTTTTCTTTCTAAATATGAAAAATATTGATCTATTCTCTAGGTACGAATTGGGAGCCGAACACGAATCAGTATGGTTCACATCCATTCTATGTTCTCATGGAACAAATACCAAACACAGATGGAATTCCATCAGGTCATATGCATGGAGTTCTCTTACTCAATTCAAATGCTATGGACTACTCATTTGGCTCGACACCATCGTTAACGATACGTACAATCGGTGGTATTCTCGATTTTTTCATTTTTCTTGGTCCAACACCAGAACAAGTCATTCAACAATATACATGGCTTATTGGACGATCTATTTTACCACCATATTGGTCACTTGGTTTTCAACTTTCTCGATGGGGTTACTCCAATTTGAACCATATGCAAACGGTCATAGAACGCAATCACAATGCTGGAGTACCATTTGATGTACAATATGCTGATATTGATTATATGGATTCAAAAAAAGATTTTACGATCGATCCAATTCATTTTCGTCGAATAAATGAATATGTTTCTCAACTGCATCAACATGGTATAAGAACAATTGTTATTCTCGATCCGAGTATGATTGATGATAAAGATAATTATGCGCCAACTATTGAAGGCATTCAAGAAGATGTATTTATTTCATGGGATCATAAGAAGAAATTGATAAAAGGAGTTTGTTGGCCAGGCAATGTGTTCTTTCCAGGTAAGTGCCAATAGATTGAACAGATAAGATAAGTATCGAAGTCAATTTAGATTTTTTTACACATCAAACACAAGTTTGGTGGTCACGATGGATAAAAAATTTTCGACAAGTCAATTTGACGTTCGATGGACTTTGGATTGATATGAATGAGCCTGGTAAGTGACATCAATACATTTGTGATATATAATCTTTTAGATATCTAGCTTCATTCAATACAAATGATCCACTTCCATGGAATTGGATGGAGACTAACAATAGTTATACGCTCAAATGTCCACAAAACCTATTTGACGATCCACCATATCGTACGAAGGCTGCATTTCGATATGATGACAAAATGAATCGATCTGCTCGCCTTTCTGATCGTACTATATGCATGACAGCTCTGCAGGGAGAAATAAATCCAACGACAGATAGACCTAAATATCGACACTATGATATTCACAAGTACGTCTCTTTCTCACTTTTGATCATCTGATAGATATTGAGTTCTCTCTATAGTCTTTATGGCTGGAGTGAAACAAGAGCAACATGGAATGCGCTACAATTAGCAATAAATAAACGAAGTTTAATTTTATCTCGTTCGACTTTTGTCGGTTCGGGCCAATGGAGTAGTCATTGGTTCGGAGATAATGAAGCGACATGGCATGAAATGAAACGATCTTTGATTATGATGATTGAATTCAATTGGTTTGGTATTCCACTCAGTGGTGCTGACATTTGTGGTTTTGACAAACTACCAAGTGAAGAAATGTGCATTCGGTAATAAAGAAATTATTGTTTTGTCATTGAATATATCTTATTCCTCTTCTAGATGGATGCAACTTGGTGCCTTCTACCCATTTTCTCGAAATGTGAGTTCAATATATGTATACATTTTTCCTTCATTCTTGTTTCTTATCTATAGCACAACAATAGAAAAGCATTCGAGCAAGATCCAGCTTCTTGGCCTGCATCAGCTGTTTCCATCATGATTTCGGCTCTTCGAATTCGTTATACTCTTCTACCCTACTATTATACATTGTTCTACAAAGCACATACACAAGGTTCGACTGTTATTCGACCATTGTTTCATGAATTTCCAACAGATAAAACAACACTCGATATTTATCTTCAATTTCTTATCGGACCGTATATCATGATAGCTCCTGTTACCGATGATGGAGCACGACAAGTTCGACTCTATATTCCTTCATTACATTGGTACGATTATTATACAGGTTCACTTATTCAAGCACAACAACAATTTGTGATTATAGAAGCACCATTAGAAACCATTCCAATTTTGTTGAGAGGTGGAGCTATTTTACCAACACAAGGCTATGCTTTGAATACAAAATATTCAAGGTAAATAATCGAAGGTTTTTTTGATTACATTTAGAATTCGTCGTATACTCTCTAGAACGAAACCTTTTGGACTTATTATTGTGCTAAATGCAAATGGTCAAGCAGAAGGAGATCTCTTCTATGATGATGGTGAATCTCTTGATACAATCGATTCAGAAAGTTATTATTATGCATCATTCACATGGTCATCAGATAACAGTCAGTTGTCGATTAATGTTATCAAGAATAACTATGCACATATGTCAGAATTAATCTTAGATTCATTGGTCATCTATGGATGGAATCGAATACCGACTAGAATGTGTGTAAACAACAAACAAGTGTATCCAATAATGAGACTTCATACGGAAATTGTTCATATTGAGAAATTGGCATTGGTCATGAACAAAAATCACATAGTCACATGGGACGAAATTGTGGATAATGATGATTGAACACTGTTACAATCGGTTCAATTGAAATTATTTTCATTTGTAACCGAAAATATTATATAGTTACTGTTACAGACTCTGCCTTTTACACTTTATTTATTTTCGTTCTGCTATGATGCATGTTGTTTTCTTTCATTCTATATCGTTTCGTTCACTGTAAGTGATATCATCTAATTCGTTATTATATCTTTTATTGTTGCGATTAGATTTATCGTTTTTTTTGTTCGTATTATATCATCCTTTCTTCTTTTTAGATCATCTCTTTATTGTGTTCGTTTTCTCTTTCTCTTCCCTAGATTCGTGTAGTAGTATATATACAAGCGTTCTTTCTTGTCTCTCTGATTCGTTAGATAGAAAAATCTTTTATTTTCGGAAATTCTGTGGATTTTTTTAGACTTAGCACCTAAAATATAGTCTTTGAGTGAAGGATCATTTTTTTTATAATTAAAATTAATTTACTCCTATTAAAATGTTTTTCCTAATCGAAGACCTGGCATTCTGCAATACTTACGATGGAACATATTTAGGTGTTCAAACTGTTTAGGCCCCATCTTTCGGCCATAAGTAGACCTCAATGATGTATGAAGAACTTGAAGAAGATTCATTCTCTCGCGCCTTTGCTCTAGAGAAATGGCTGTTCTACTGGATATTCAGTCAAAGACACGGCATTTCGAGAAAAATCAAATAGATGAATTTTGATCTGAAATTTCACTTATAAATAGGTCTAATGATTCGTCGAATATTCTTAACGTTTCAATCAAAACGGATGCTCTCATAGAGTGTTACTAGAATTTCAATGAACATCCATATTTTGACAGGACATTCTAAAGTCGAGATTTTCTAAAAACGAAATATCTCATTAAGAGAGTATCCGTTTTTGCTGAAACGCTAAGGATATTCGATGAATCATTAGATCTATGTATAGACGAAATTTCAGACTAAAATTCATTCATTTGATTTTTCTCGAAATGCCATGCCTTGGATCAAACCACTCAATGAAGCAGTCATATCTCGAGAACAAAGGCGCGAGGGAATTAATTATGTTCCCTCGTCAGTTAGGATTGAATCAAAATCAACCAACAAAATTGAACTTTTTCAGATCTTTTATCGACAATTGAATATTTGATTACAAAATAATCTCAATATTAATACAAGGTACAGCTATCATGATTCAGTGTTTTGAGATTTCAAATCAAATATTCAAGCACTAATGAAAGTTATTGGCTAACCAGAGAACCTTCCCAAGTGCCAGAGCGCTTTTCAGTCGAGGTTTTGCGCATCTTGTAGCCCATAGTGAGCTATGTCTATGGTAAAAAAAAATTCGGACCCCTGGCTTGTTTCTGCGGAGATATCGAACTTCTAGTGAA